ATATATAATTATTATTATTATTATTATTATTATACAGGACTTATATAGTGCCAACAGTTTGTGCAGTGCTTTACAATATAAGGACAAGACAAGATGATAAGGAGGGCCCTGCCCCTGAGGGCTTACAATCTAAAAGGGAGAGGGAAGTGATACATGAGGAGGTTGCTGTGTGGGAATGATTTGTCTGAGAAAGTGATGGTTGAGCGGTTAGGTTGAGGTGGGATAGGGTTCCCTGAAGAGATGAGTCTTAAGGGATCGCCTCAAGGCAGTCAGAGTGGAGACAGATGGACAGTTGGGGTAAAGAGTTCCAGAGGATGGGAGAGACTCTAGTGAAGTCCTGGAGGCAAGCATGGGAGGAGTTGACGAGGGAGCTGGAAAACAGAAGGTCATTTGAAGAGCGGAGGGGACGGTTAGGGTGATACTTTGAGACAAGGTTTGAGATATAGCCGGGGGCAGAATTTCTGGATGGCTTTGTAAGTCATTGTTAATATTTTGAATTTTATCCTCTGGGTAATTGGAAGCCAGTGCAGGGATTGACAGAGGGGGGTTGCAGACACTGAGCGGTTGGTTGGGTAAATTAGTCTAGCAGCTGCATTCATGATAGACTGAAAGGGGGATAGCCTGTGTAGTGGAAGGCCAATGAGGAGGGAGATGCAATAGTCAAGACGAGACATAACAAGTGAGTGGATGAGTAATTTTGTGGTTTAATTGGCAAGGAATGGGCGTATTTTGGAGATGTTGCGAAGGTGAAGGTGGCGGGATTTGGATAGTGATTGGATGTGGGGAAGAAAGGTGAGGTCCGAGTCAAGGATGACACCTAGTGTAACTGACTCACCTGATCCTTGTCTCAGCACGGCTCGCATTGCCGTCGGAGCTTCGTGACGTCACCCGTGACGTCACGAGACTCCTCCCCCTCTCCCTAGTTAAAGCCGACGGAGACACTTGTCTGGCGTTCTAGCAAGTGTGAAGACGCCAGGCAAGTTCCCCGTCGCCTAGCACTGAACCTCACTGCCATTATTGGGCCGGTCAGAGCCCCACCAAAACCGCCATCCTCACAGCCACAAGTGATCTCCTGCCTCTCCTCTCAAACTCGGCTCCATCTGCAGCTCTCCATACCCAGCATTAGGATTACACAATTAAAGCCTGGACTGCAATTCCTCTCAGGAACCACAGGAGGGCACCAACGTCGCTCCAGTCAACCCTCTCCACTGAAATAGCAAGTACCCTGTCTTACAGACTGTTACCTCACATATGCCTGCAGATTAACAGTGTGGAATGTTATCCATTGCATCCAAGCATTGACGGTTGCCTTCTTTCACCCCAACAAACCACGAATTGCTCCCTTTAATAAAACCGCAACCTAACTTTAGCTCAAGATTGCTGATTGATTATAACCATTACTATTACTATTGCTATCTCTGCAGCTGTGATCCTCCACCCTACAGACCTGTGGGGTCTGATCGTTACACCTAGCACCTTGGCATGGGGGGAGGGTTGGATAGTTGTGTTATCAATCTCAAGGGAAAAGTTGGGGGAAGGTGCACTGGCAGGAGGAAATATTATGAGCTCAGTTTTTGAAAGGTTGAGTTTTAAGAAGTGTTGTGACATCCAGACTGATATGTCAGTTAGTAGATTAGTGACACGCAAGGATACTGAGGGGGTCAGTTGCGGAGTAGAAAGATAGATTTGATATATATATATTGTGACAGTAGGCAAGTAAAGTCACCTGGGTGCATCCTGGATGGCAAACATGTGTGTCCCAGGTTCAGGTTATATACGGAATGCTTCCATTAGAGAGAGTACTGGGAGTGATTGAGTGGTAGAGGTAATGACCCCAGCTAAAGTAAGCTGGCTCATTAGGGCCTTTATAAAAATGCCTAGACTACCTAGAGTTCTGCTCCACCCTGGAACAAGTTTTGTGCCTGAGTAGACTGGGGAGCTTTCTACCTACCTGTGTGGTGAATAAGAAAAACAAACTTGTGTTGTAAGACACAGTTGTGTGGCAGTTTGCTAAATAGGGAGATAGGTGCTAGGGGCAGCACAAGGTTGCACCTAGTTGTTAGTGAGGGAAAACAGTGTGTAATACGGTGCCAAAAGGCAAGGATTTCTTTTCAGGTTTTGTTTGTTTTGCTTGTATATAGTGTAAATAAACTGCACGTGTGTTTTCACCTGAAGAAATCATTGCTTGCTTTGTCTATTTTTGGTGATTCAAATTATTGAGTATTGTGCCTTAGCTGACCAAGGGCAAAGGCTATGCACTGCATTATACAGTAGGTTGTTCCTTATTTCTGGTTGCAAACCTGCAAAGTTTTCAGGCTAAAGTTTGCAATTCACAAATCCTGAGGATGCGTCGTGAACCCATTGTAGTTATGAACCTGAGCCTCATCCCTAAAATATATATATCTTAGCTACTGTATACTAAATGCATAAGTATAAATGTGAAAACATGTGAGATATGGAAGTGAATTAGATGAAGACAGGAAGACTGCAATGTAAGGGAACTCGTAACTGTAATGATAGGGAATGGAGGAGAATGGGACGAAGGAGTGCGTACCTTAGTATGAGTTCCAAATTCTTCACTTAGTTTTTTGAGTGGGTTGTCATACTCCAGCAACATTTGCCCCAGGCGTGCATAGGAAGGCTCACTGCAGAGACAGTATTTCCAAAACTCATCAGTAGTTTTCATTGATTGTCTTGGTGCAGTGTTTTCAAGTGTATGTGTGTATTGTATGCTGGCTGATGCCCAAAGGGGCCAACACTCTTATCTAAAAAGCCTAATTTTGTTAACAGCTTTATTTATTTATTCATTCATTTGTATATGTATTTAATTATTTTACAACCCCAATTCCAAAAAAGTTGGGACGTGGTGTAAAACCCAGATGCAATGATTTGCAAATCTCATAAACCCATATTTTATTCACAATACAAAATAGAAAACATATCCAATGTTTAAACTGAGAAAATTAAGCATTTTAGAAAAAAAATAAGGTCATTTTGAAGTCGATGGCAGCAACAGGTCTGAAAAAAGTTGGGACAAGACAACAAAAAGCTGGCAAAGTAAATGGTACTAACAAGAAAAAGCTGGAAAAACATTTAGCAACTAATTAGGTTAATTGGCAACAGGTCAGTAACATGATTGGATATAAAAAGAACATCTTAGAGAGTCAGAGTGTCTCAGAAGTAAAGATGGGCAGAGGTTCACCAATCTGTGAAAAGCTGCGTCTGAATATTTGTCAAACATTTTTTAGTATAATGTTCCTCAACATAAAATTGCAACGATTTTACATATATCATCAACAGTACATTATATCATCAAACGATTCAGAGAATCTGGAGAAATCTCTGTGCACAAGGGACAAGGCTGAAAGACAATATTGGATGCCTGTGATCTAGTGGGGAAAGGTGGATTCATAAAGAACAGCTTTAAATCACTGTCTTCTTAAAATAATCAATTCAGAATGCCTCGTCCCTTCTTTTCTTAAGCTAACCCTAAGAAAGTCCCCTTTGATGTTTATGCCGAGCTTTAGTAAATTGCCAGGAGGACTGTAAAACAAGGATATACAGATGCCTACACACAGCCCCAGGGGTTGTGTCAATGGGATTTTGTTTGAGTCGGGTAGATTTTACATCCCGATACAAGTCTATTGTAAAGCATAGACTTGAAGCAGGTCAAATCAAACGGCTCTTTCCCTCTGGTCCTTACACACACACTAACAAACATTATTAGCAAATAATATTTTTTTTAAACCCAGAAAACATTTTTATTAATTCCTATTACACTTGATAAATAAAATCTCATCATACTATCATCTCATCTCATTTACTTTATCATTTCACTGGCTATTGAAGTCCATTGAAACTAGCACCTATTATTGCCTGTGATGATTACTTACAAAAGTATGCTTTTATAAGAGATATAAGGTCCAATGTTTTTTTAATCAACACAGCAGATATTGTAATGCTTCTGGTGGGCAGAGAAAGGGAATGTTCCGGTGTGAGTGCATGTATATTTCTGCCTTCTCATACATACTGCATGTTTAGTCTATGTGCTGCGTGGTACCTACCTCTGACCTTGCAGCATCTCAGAGGCGCAGTTGTAAAGAGCAACAAGGGTCTTTCGATCATCAATCCTTGAGATCAGCATGATGACAGAGAAGTATGTCACTATTAGGTCCAGGTAGCTCTTAGTGAAGTTGTAATTTATATTCTGCAAATTTGTCACATAGGAAATAATGTTATTTACATATTGTAATATGTCTCTAAGGACAGCATAAAAATACAAATTAAAAAGATACAACAGTTCAGTCAGAAATGGAAAACACTTTTTAAGAATTTAAAATTGCTACTGCCTACCTAGGAAGTCTTCTTTTACAGTCCGAGGATCTGTCACTGGGCCCCAACTATTATGAATGTCTCAGTCTCCCATTCTCTGAGACTGTAATAATTTCTCATCCTTGCCCACCAAAACACTGGCATACTTCTGATACTGAACAGCTAATGACAGTTTACCTACAACTATGTAGACTTAACTAAATAACATAATTGAAAGGGGTTGATTTACTAAAGGTAAAAAGGCTTTTCACTTTGCAAGGGTATAAAACTGTGCTGACTTCCATCATTCAATCATGTGCAAGCAAAAATACTGCTTTTCCCCATAGTTCTTCTTAGGGTAACGGGAGGACACAAACTAGCGTAGCTCGTGGTATACTGAGACGCCGCAGTATACTGAGACGCCGCAGCTGAAGCGGATCCCGACAATTATGTCTGGATCCGCCCAGCTGCGTGACTGACAGCTGGCTCTGCCTATCTAGAGGCAGAGCCAGCTGTACCCGCCCCCTCCCCCGTCCGTTCCGCCAGTCAGCGCTGGAGGATCGGAGCGGGGAGGGGAATCCAGCCTCTCCCCTGTCACGGCAGAGGGCCGTGACAGGATCGAGAGGTGAGCAAACCCCGGTATGTGTTCGCTCACCTCCGGATCTACTGAGCCGACCTGTGACAGTCTCATTGTCAACGGTCGGCTAGAACTATGAGGTGAGTGAAAAGCACTCACCTCATAGTTCTCCTTTAATGACAGTTGCAGACAGTAAGAGTAAAAAATATATAGTAAGTGCTATGTAATAGGCAGCAATTCCTTGCTGTTGGGAGGAGTATCAGCAACAGGAGAGAAGCAGGACGTATGAGATACACCCTAGAAACTGTTAGTTCCCGTTCACACCTGGGCCTACCAGGAATGAGTGTTGCGTTTGCATGTGGATGTATTCGTGTGTGTTTGTTCCTGCTTTTGCTGCACATCACCCATTGATTTCAATGGATGCCTCACACACACGACAAATGCAGGAAAGTAGCTCATGCAGAAGATCGTGTAGCAGCGCCTTTTTTTTCTTGTGTTTGTGTACCCGAACGTGCAGGAAAACCGTGCATTTTCCCAGCCGCGTTTGGGGAGCCAGTAGTTAGTATGGAATTATTGTAGGCACAAATTGTTTTTTAAACGGTTGGGGGCCCATAATATAACAGAATAAGTGAACCTGGGGTTTGGCTTTAATCTATGCTCGCTGCAATATGCTGCAGCAAGAATCCAGAAAGCAACTCCGAGAGTCACTGGTGATATACTTCCTGAAACCTCCCCCGGGTAAATTTCTCAATCTCTGAAATTCCCAGGCATGTTTCAATCTGACTGGTAGCTGTGAGAACTCACATTAAGACACTAATGGTAGCCTTTTTATTTCTATCATGGCAGGTCCACTTTAAGGTAAACACTGCTATATTAACAAAATATATACTAAATATAAACAGTACATTATTATTATTATTATTATTATTATACAGGATTTATATAGCTCAACAGTTTGAACAGCACTTTACAAAACTGAGGGAGACAACACAATTACCAATACAATTTCGTTACAGGAAGTAGGAGGGCCCTGCTCGTGAGAGCTTACAATAATACTTTTATACTTCCTCTTTATGCAGTTTAGTGAAAGCTGCGGCAGTAAAGCTTTGGCTGGATCAAAGCAGAAGCCTTTGGCAAGCAAATTGTGTACCAGTGAAGGCAAAACTGTTTTTAGAATTGGATTGTTATGAACAGTCTATTTGTGTATAAGGCACCACATATAAAAATGTGAGTAAAACTTGAACTTACAATGTCAAAGTAACACTGGCAGGCATCAATGGTATTCAGCAATTCATAAACGTGATCCTGCAGGGACAGAAGGTTCTGTTAGAATTACCAACAAACACTGAAAGTATATTATACTAAGTACTGCCAGTTTACTGGAAGCTGCATTTTTCTGCCTATCGGGTAGTAACATTTTAAGGGTGTTAGTTACAGCTATTCTTCCTTGCTTTTTATATGCAGGTACATTTAAAGTGACACTAAACGTAGCAGTAAAATCTTAAAGATGCATTTAAGTACCCTAACTATTAACAAAAATGTATCTTATTTGTGTATTACTCAGCTGTAGATCCCCAAATCATCTCTGAATTGGTGCTGATACTGTCCTTCCTTCTGGAGGGTGGCTACTTTTGTTCCCCATGGTCCCTGTTGGTGTTGTAAAGTAGCTACCGCTCCAAGCTCCCTCCTGTCAGTTCATATTTAGTTTACTAAAGGAGATTTATGAGAAGAGTGAAATACACTCATCCCCAATTAGAGCTGACGTGTGACACTGAAGCTGTGACGCGTCGGCTTTATAGATCGAGAACTGAGTGATCACATACCATTGATCGGTCAGTTCCCGAACTTCTCCCAGCAGAGAGTGTTGATTGTCAGTCACCACTCCCCGCAGGGATTCCCCCCACCCCTCTCCTTCCCTCAAGCTCTGACTGGAGGGATGAACGGCAGAGAGGGTGGGCACAGCTGGCTCCGCCTCTGGAGAAGCAGAGCCAGCTGTCAATCAGGTGGCGGGGTGGATCCCGACAATATTTTCCAGATCTTTCCCAGCTGCAGTGTGGCTCTGCGCTGTCAGCACATATCAGGCAATAGCCCACTATAGGCTGAGTTTTGGGTTACAGGAGGATACTAGTAAATGTCCTCCTGTGACCCTAAAGAGAGCTATGGCAAAAAAAGGTTGGCCCACAGTTCTCTTAAATTTGTATTGAGATTGAAGTCCATCATGGGAGTGAGCTTGGAGCAGTGACTACTTTACAACACACAGGGACCATGGGGCATAAAAGTATAAAAGTAGCCTCCCTCCAGAAGGAAGGACAATGTCAGCATGAATTCAGAGATGATTTGAGGATCTACAGCTGAGTCATACACAAATAAGATACATTTTTGTTAATAGTTAAGATACTTGAATGCATTTTTAAGATTTAACTCCTGAGTTTAGTGTCACTTTAAAGGAATGTTGCTGCACCGGAAAATGTGTGTAATCTATGCATTAATAGTAGTATTAAAGCTAAAAACTCCAGTCAGATATAAAATAAACATATACATGCAGCTTTGTATTCATTAATACATTATTAAATTCATTTTTTTAAATGCAAGCAGAGTAAGTACCTGACTATGACTTGGAATCAAGTACCTGTACAGCAGAGTTCAGACTAGGAGAAGGAGAAGAGGCCCTGTGAGTCAGTCAAGTGCTCTGCAGTGCTTGTGTGCTAACAAATAACATGCTGATAGTGGGAGGGTTGTGTAAATCTCAAAACTGGATTGACAGCAATACAGTAAACTCTGCGTTATCCAGCATCCAGTGTGGATTGGTAGATTCCAGATAAATGTAGTTTCTGGTTGCTTGAGAGCTACTATTAAAAACAGGTCTAACTAATGCCATACCCCATACTATACCATATTATAACATAAACTCTGTATTGACTTTATATTAATATTGAAATGCAGTAATCAAAAGCAAATTAAGACAAATAGACTCACTTAAGACAAACACATGATCATTTCAAGGATAATGCATGCCGCAGATCAGCAGAACAGTGAGTACACAGGGGATTTTTTTTTCTGGTTAGATGAGAGTTCTGGTTAGTTGAATACCGGATCACTGAGAGTTTACTGTACTAATATTTTTGGTACCTAGGACAGTTCTCCAATATGCATTTCATTATTTGTTTTCTTTCTGTTTGCCTGGAGTTCAACGTTAACTACATTACTATGTATGCTAATACAATGCATATTAGAAACAAACAAAAAAACATGTTGCATGTCATTTACTACTTACTCGGAATTCCATGACATCCACAAACGTCATGTAATAGCCAGTCAGATATTTCACAATCTCGGTCTTATCTTTGTGCACTGGACCCAGGTGTTGCTGGATTCAAACATGAAAAAACGGTCTTTAGAATTGAACATGGATTATGTGTATTGCTTCCCATTTTACTCATAAGCACATGGTTATAAAGCAGTACTACAATGAAAATGACATGTCAGTGTAAAACAGTTATCCTTTTGATTGGGGTTGCACCGAAATTTCGGCTGCCGAAACATATCGACCGAAAATGGCACTTTTAGTAAAATGCCAAAAGTGCCATCTTTCGGCTGAAATTGTGGTGCATGCCTGGTTTCTCTCCTCCCCGCTGGGCGCTGCTCTATGTTCCCTCTGACACAGTGCAGCATCCAGCGGGGAGGAGAGAAACTAACACAGGAGGCCAAGCCGCGCGGGGGAGGAGAGCGATGTGAGCGGCCGACTTCTCTCCTCCCGAATCGCTCAGCCTCCCGTGACAGATTAGGAGAGCGGCGGTGTGTTGGGCGAAGACAGCTGTCAGTGTGGTCACAGGAGGCTGAGCTCTCCTCCTGCACTGCCTCGCTAAGCCTCCCGTGACAGATTAGGAGATCGGCGGTGTGTTGGGCGAAGACAGCTGTCAGTGTGGTCACAGGAGGCTGAGCTCTCCTCCTGCACTGCCCCGCTCAGCCTCCTGTGACAGATTAGGAGAGCGGCGGTGTGGTGAAAGAGACAGCTGTCACAGGAAGTCAGGCGGGCGGTGCAGGGGAGGAGTCAGCTGCCAGAGGAGATCAAGCTCTCCTCCCGCACCAGCCCACTCAGCTTCCGTGACAGCGAGTCAGGATAGAGAGCGAGTACAATCACTCAGCGATCAGTGACCGCTGAGTGTTTGTAAATAATTGAGGACATAGTCTAGGCCTGGTCCATCTCCTGCTCTTTGACATACTGCCACAGTTGCCACTCCTGATGTGATGGTAGGACAGTGATATGACGGGGGGACTAAGGACTCTGATGTGAAGGGGGCTTACTATGTGAAGGGAGACTCTGATACGAAAGGAGTACTCCCTTTACATCAGAGCACCCCTTTCATATCAGAGTCCCCTTCACATACTAAGCCCACTTAACATCAGAGTCCCCAGTCCACCCTTCACATCACTGTCCTACTATTACATCAGGAGTGGCAACTGTGGCAGTATGTCAAAGAGCAGGAGATGGACCAGGGCAAGACAGAAGCAAACCTCCTTTCTTTTCTGAATGGATTCCACCCTTTCTTGGACTGTCATTATTTGTCTCCATGGTGCTGGCGACTGGCTCGACTACACCATGGAAAAGCATGATGGTACGTCCCAAAGAAAAATCAAATATCAAAAACACAAACACACAAGTAGTGCCAAATTGGATTGGTCCATTAAACTATGAGTATGTTTTTAAGTTGTTGAAGGAAACCAGAGAACCCAAAATAAACCAATACAAATGTGGAGAGCACAAACTCCATGAATAAAATGTTCCTAGTAGGAGCTAAACACATCATTCCAGTGCCACAAGACAAAAAAAATGCGTTGTCGGTCTACTAAAGTACATGGGTAAATCATGTCTGCTCTTTATTTATATTTTGAATATCCATAACACACTAATAGTATCCTTATGCAAAAGGTTAATTGAATAATGAGTCTTTTAGGTAAACCATTGGGACAAAAACATAAGAGGAGTTTTTAAAGGTGCAGGCTGTGGGATCTCCTGATCATTGCTGCACTACCAAATAAATAGTTGATCATTCTAGAACAAGCATGCAATCAGCAGTGTCAGAAGAGTTTGAACTCCAGCCCTGTTAGTAATTCACTATAGAATGCAACCAGTATGAGTATGACATATCTGGAGCCTGCCCATTTAAAGATACCCAGTCACCTTTTCCATTCAACCCACCCCTGACCACTTTCAACTCACCTATACATATCCTCTCCAGTGCTTCCTTACAGTACCTTTATATGTTACAGCTGCCACTAAAATACCCATAGCTTAGAGGCAGATACCTTCCCTGTGACAGTCCTTGGCTCAGTGAATGGCTGCTAGGCCTGAGGCCTCCTCATTGGAGGAGGTCACATGATCCCCCATACCTGAAAGCACAGGGCAGCAACTATAGAAGAAGTAGTGGTGGGGGAGTCCTAGAAGGGTGAGCATATGGTGGCCAGGGGGCTTTATACAGACCCTGTCAGTTTGCCTGCAATGGACACTCTGCCAGGTTTTTTTATACATATCTGTCAGCAAAATTATGCAAGAAATGGCCAGCCAGTCCAGTAGCTCTCTTGGAGTTAATTTATATGCTGATTGATATCAGATATAAGATTGTCAGCGCTGAGGAAGGACGGATCGCCCCATGAAACACATCAGAGTTACCTTATTGTATCTTCCTGTGGTGGTCTACTAATATGTGATTACCTCTCTAGAAGACCTGGTCTGCTTATTGTTGGTTTCTTACACGCTTGGATAATTTCTGTACTTGTGATTACCTAGTTGCTCTCTGCTTTTATTCATTCTTAATAAACAGTATTACACTAGGAGGAGGTGCCTCTTTTTCTGTTTTGTTGCATGTTTGTTGATATGCTATTGCAATCAAACTCTTGGGTGGAAATTGTTCGAATGGCACTGAGGTTTATGTCCATGTATAAGCAACCTAACAAGTAGCTGTTTTATAATTCAGAATACCAAACACTGCATCTGTACACAATTATGTTACACAGAAAAACTAAATGTGATACAATATTGTCTGAAAGCTGAAAGTTCATTTTAGCACGCGTTTTGGCAAAACATTTCAGTTGAGTTCTGGCTCAGAGGCTGTTTACGCATTTACCGTACTGCTGCGGACATCGATATTTGGAAACTTCTTGCTGATGTATTTCAGAGATGACTCCATTGACTTGTCCGTGAAGAAGTGGGGTTTTGTTTTGGCATCTGAGCATGTCTGTGAGAAGATAGAAATATATTAGTTATATTTAAATCATGTTTGCACAGCTAATGGATAAAGGATTTTTATCCATCATTTAAATTGTCCACAATACTTGGGTAGTTCATTGAGATTGCTAATTAGTGTGATCAACCAGTTTTTTTTAGGACTGCATGTCCCAGTATGGCCTACAAATCATAAAACTTGCAATTCAATCTAATGGGAGCCTACATCTTACTATTTCAGTAATGTTTGTTGTATGGACCACTAATAAATCGCTTATACTCAAAGCCATTTATTTGCATCATATGAGGTATTAATGGTGTTCTAGTTGGCATTTTTCCCACAGTGGTAGATGTAATTTGCTAATTGTGGTTCACAGGGTAGTTAGAAAATATTATAGGAGCACACCATTCCACAAATCAGTTCATATTTTTTTTGCGATGTTGGCACTGCATGCTTTTGATACAAGAGCTGCATAGGGCTTGGTAAGTATACAGCAGAATAGGGAAATGGACTTAAGTTCTATTGCCACAATCCCTTGTGGAGAATATAATTCATAGTGTCTTTAAGTGCTGTACAGACATACAATACGTGAAAAACACCTAACCAAAATTCTTGATTTATCCTCACAAAAAAAGCACTACTTACAAACAGACCTGTGCAACTGTGCCAAAATAGAGAATTAAAATTGTACTTCGGGTATTTTCTTGTTGTGGATAGAGAAGGGGAACATTAGGACCTTTTTTAGGTTTGTCAAGGTGTTTGTGTTGGCACTGAGGATAGAAAGGTACAGGTAGACAAAAGGTAGGGGATTCTTGCTCACAGTACATATTACATGCACCATTTAGAGAAGAAGAAATGTGATCAAGTTCTCTGAATTATGCAGGTCACCCCACCATTGCCTCAGGACAGAGGAAAACCTGTGCATCAATAATAATCTTATCAACAGCAGCATATGAAAATCTATCTGCTGTGCAGTGCTGTTTCATATACTCACAAAGTGGGAAACCCTAAAAAAACATGTTTTAAGTTTTAAAAAAGGAAAATTGAAAGCAATAGCCACTTTTTTTCTCTAAGTTCAAAACCTTGAGACAATGGAACATCTAGGCAGGGCCTGTATATCTTCAACCCTAGATTAGCATTTCACTCTCTTCTATGATAATTTGCTACATTTAACAATTTCAGTAACTTTAAAGTTAATTTTCATAAATCTGTTATCCTTGATGTTTCTTAACAGCTGGGAGACCATTAACACAAGGCCATTGTATTGTGTGACAATTTTGTTGTGCCCCTAAAGCAATTAAATATTTTGTTGTTCAGGCTACTAATTTGCTCACTTGTTATCTCTCGCCTAGACTACTGCAACTTCCTCCTCGTTGGCCTACCTTTACATAGGCTATACCTCCTTCGGTCTATCTTAAATGCTGCTGCCAGACTTGTCCACCTTACCATTGACTCGGTGCCCCCCACCCCCTCTGCCAATCCCTCCACTGGCTTCTGCTCACCCAAAAGAATAAACCTCAGAATACTGACAACAACATACAAAGCCATGTACAACTCTGCCCCAAACAACATCACCAACTTATCTCAAAACAAGACCCATGCATGGAAAGGGGACCAAGAAGAATTAACAAGGAAGAAGAGAGAAAAAAGAGAAAGAAGAGAAAAAAAAGGAGTGGGGGGGGGGGGAGATGTAGATAGGAAAATCCAGAAAAGTCGATCCAGATGCTCCAAATATCAAGGCAGGTTAATAAGCATGCAAAGTGGCCATGAGTTCTTCCATATGTTTGATCACGTTAACATGCGAAGGCCATAATTAAGGGAGTGTTGGAGACCCTCCAGCATTAGGGAACAAAAGCTTTTCCTGCAAGAAAGAAGAAAACGAAGACCTTGTTTTGGTGCCTGTAGGGTTCCTGGAATCATAGATAGAAGAGCCACTTAGGGCAATGGGGGACAAGATGTTAGCATAAATAGGGTGCATATTTAAAAATGATTTGGCCAAAAAGGACAAACAAGTCATCTCCATAACACCAGCACCTGTCAGATGCAGTCCAATGGAATTTGGAAAGATCAGTGAGGCAATGATACCATCTAATCAGTATTTTATAATTAAGTTCCCACACCGGACTAGCTATGCTGAATTATGCGTAAGAAAGAAGGTTTTTTTCCCAACCAGTGACGGGACAGTCCCTAGTATAATAAGGACAGCGCGGGAAAGCATGGCCGAATGAGATATATTTGATCTGAGAGAACATGCGGACAGCCAGTACTGTTCAGGCAGAGATCCTCCAAGAGCATTAAGTCTCGAGGAACATGGGCAGTAAGTTTCGCATAAAAATGTGTACGCTGAAAATAGTGTAGCCATCTCCCCTGAAATTGTATGGCAAGTTCGGCAAGAGACAAGAAGTCAAGTTAGAAAAAGGTTATATGCCTTCCAAAGTAATAACCTGTAAGATTGGCAAAGATTTAAAAAAATGCCAACATAAGAATCTAGAACAATGCATGAACAGTGGGAAGGTGGGATTACCAAGGTCATGGGACCCACATGTGAGGAGATATTGTATGATCAAATTGCCAAGTCCCATGCACCAAAAAATGAGTATACCAGGGAGAGAACTAGAAGGCTGGCAGTATCTCGGCAGGATCCAAGAGAGAGAGAGTTGAGAGGGACTTGAATGGTCTACTCCTTTAGTAAATCAACCCCAATGTCTCAGTAAGACATAAAAAATCCAGTGGACTGAGCCTCCCCCATACAGAACTATATCCCAAATCACCTCTTCTAGTCTATATCCTGGACTGGATATTCCATGGTAAAGACAAGTTGTGGGTCTCTGCTGAAGGATCATTGTCTTCTTTGCCCCTCACGTTTTTTCTTGGGGTGTCACCCACCCTCCACCCCTCATGTCTCTTCTTGGGGTTTCACCCCCTCCAGAATACTAAGTGAGGCTCTGCCTAACCTGCCTCCCCTGACCGCACGTCCCTGCTTAGAAGGCCTGGATCACTTTCTTGAGTATGCCATGCCTTAAAGACCTTATATCATAAAACTAAATGGTTTGTTGAAGATTTGAGAGTTTGTTTCCCCAGCATGGACACCCAATACCTACCTCTTACTTCCTCTCTGTCCCTCATTCCTAATTATCCTGCCCTTCTTCCCTAGACTTCATCTTCTCATTTTCCTGCTTTTCTAGTTTCTCTCATCATAACCTCACAACTGGAGAAACCGTCACAGACTAGACGGGGTTATGCTTCTACTGTATGTATTTCAGAGTCTAGATTAACAAACCATACACTTTTTAAAAAAAAGATTGATATTTATATCTACATTATAATATTATTAGTAAGAAACCTTTTCTTTTGAGATAAAATGCATGTGCTGTCACTCTGACACACAGAAGTAACTATATCTTGACTGCACAGGGCTTTTCACTTCCTCTTCCTCATAACTATAATCAGAATGTAACTGACAGGAAATAAGACTGTGTACATCACACCCATTTAAAACACAAAGCTCATATGGATACATTTACTTTTTAAGTAACTTTACAAGAAAGCAGTTGAGTCCCTCTGTACAGCAAGGACTTAGGATCCCTGAGGCTCCACATGGACTGATTGAAGACTCACACTGATACATGCAGTGTGAAGTGTTGTTAGTTTAAGCAGTTTTAGGCCATGTCAGGTTCATTTTAAAATCTCCTTATTAGTGCCATCTACAAGTTGTCACACCTGTGGCGCTTCACATGATGATCACATCAATAAGCACCATGCTGATGAGTCCCTTTGGAAACCATAGGCCGGTGTCCTGGTTCAGAGAAGTGAACGATAGAAATCACCAGCACTCCGTAAATGACTGCACGCGTTCATTGACTGTTGTACACGGCGCCATCCGTGCACCAGCACTCGTTCACTGACTGTTGTACACGGCACCATCCGTGATTGTCACGGCGAGCACCACTATTTTCACTTGGACTGGAAGCGCTGTAAGGAGTGCAGGGGGACCTACTGTTTTCTGGAACTGGTTCAGAGAAGGTCATGTGACTCTAATAACAATCCTTTGGGTGAGGCAATCCCTAAAAGTCACATGCTATGATAATGAGGTCCGATGAAACCCAAACTAAAGGAAAAGAAAAGGGAAGTCATACCGAACCCAGCAACACCCTCATTTTTCCAAAATGTGCAACTTTGTACACTCAAAATAAAGTTGGGGGAAAAAAATTAAAAATTAGACAGTGTGATGCACTGAACGTGCACATCACCCCTCCCTGTGCCGGACCTCACTCAGTACCCTAGCCCGCATGCTAAAACTCAGCAGTGCGAGTTAGTGTGAATGAGCACTAAAGCTACTCTGTCAGTTACAGAAAGTTATTTAAAAGCTCTGCACCTGCAACAAAGCAAAGTAATACTACAGTACCTCTCCTGCTGCCTATGCATCTGAAGGAAAGGCAGTAGAAGAGGTAAGTATACCTTTGCTTCATTACAGGAACAGAACTTTTAAAGACCTTTTTTTGTAGAGTTTCACATGATATGAAGTTAAAAGTACAGTTTTCTATATATTCATGTCCTATGCAACATCTTAAGT